CTATGCTCCAAGAGACTATTTTATTTACTGATGTATGTGCTTCTATTAAAATAAATCTGTTGAATTATGAGTAGAGCAAAAGATGATGTAAATTATTGGACTCGCCTAACTATTATAATGGTAACCAAGTTTTTCTTCATATCTATGACAACCATGCTTGCAAGTATGCAATTAATCTGACGTTAGTTGAATACCATTGTAACTATATCATTTACTAAGTATTGAAACATTGCTTAGCTTAGTTATTATAGAGACGAATCCATTATGTTACATCATCCTTTGCTCTCGCAACAAAAATATAAGTTATAGTAAAAATAGTAGTGTTAAGTAATAGTAGCAATGCTAATTAAGTGACAAAGTTTGCCATTTAATAATTTGCTAACTCAAGAGGCAAATGATATCCCATTGCGAGTACCTGAAAATAACTTGTCTTCTTTCTGTTTTAATTTTAAGTAAATGATGTTAGCTTTTAATAATTTTTTAAAAGTCTTTTTCTCTCTAACTAATGTTAGCATTTTAAAATATATTATTATTAGAAGTATGAGACCTACGGATGAGAATAATTGGAATAAGAAGTTATATTTGTTTAGAAGTTTATTGTAAAATTATGAGTTTTATTTGGTTTGATTGAAAATAATATTAATTTAATAGGAAATAAGATTGAGAATTGAGCCTATTTAGACACCTTTTCTGATTTTATAACTTTGCCTTCTCGTTTTCTTTCTATAAGTGTATACGAACTACAAAAAATTGGGAAATGAACTCAGCCTTCGCAGAAGCTATAACCTTCTTCGATTATGCTCATTTTCAGAGAGGAATATGATTATATCTAAATATGGTTGCAACAAAATTTATTCATGTGGACTAGTCATATCAATGTATACCAATATCTCGGTTCAGGAAGCTATTCAAGCTCTTTACATCATTCACTTTATGCACCTAGAGCTTTTATAAAGAGCAGATTTAAGTATACTTTCAATCTATTAATGGGTTCGAGACGTACTAATTATTAATATAATGTTTCCTTTGTTAACTTAATAAAAAAGCTTCTTATTAACTTGTAGATTGGATTTACTACAGACCCTCGCTCCTCTCGCTCATCACCTTATTGCACTGACGTTGCTCGTGTCACAAATTCTCTTATCCTTCACGTTAACGCCGATGATCCCGAGGCGGTGATGCGTGTAGCTCGAGTAGCTTCTGAGTGGCGTGCTGAGTTCGGTAAAGATGTTGTCATTGATCTTGTCTGTTACCGCCGATCTGGGCATAATGAAATGGATGAGCCAATGTTTACTCAGCCACTCATGTACAAACGTATTCGACAGCAAAAGAGTGTTCTGGATACTTATTCTCAAAAGCTGATTGTAGAGGGTGTCATCACAGAGCAAGAATTTATTGTAAGTTACGTAGCAGTTTCCTTTATGCTGGACATCTTAAGCAATTTTCACTCATTTGGACTCTTGATTTTAGTGCATTTCTCCATATATTTAAGTTGCAATTACCTCATTAGTATATATATATATATATATATTAATATTGGACTTAATATGTTTTACAGGCTGTATAGCCTAGTACAGTGATTCCCAAACTGTGCGCCCCGGGAAGCCGCAGCCTCTTTACAGGGGCGCCGCAAAATATTGTAAAAACTTCAATTTGAGAAAATGTGCAGTAATTTGCAGGCTCATTCATCAAATTAATTATTAATTTAATGTCAATAAAGTAAAAAATAATGAAGATACACGAGTTTTATTTATTTTTATCTCTTATTTACAAATAGTCATACTTAGGGTAGGGCGCCGATGAAAAATTTTAATTGAAAAAGGGCGCCGCGACTAGGAAAACTTTGGGAACCACTAGCCTAGTACATAACCATACTTGCTTCATTCATTGCTTCTTTGAGACGAAGTGTTGATCATATTTTAGTTATTGGTTTAACATATATTGCAAAACTTCCTTCTTTTGTCCCTTATTCTTCCTTGATATCGCTTCTTTCACATCCTTTTCACATATATCACCTTATACAAAAAATAAGATTTCTTTGTGCTCGCTTACTAATTTTGCTTACTTTTTGAGATTTATTTTATTCATCCACATTCATCAGAATGAAAAGGAGAAATATGACAAGATTTGTGAGGACTCGTATGAAAAGGCTAAAAAACAAACCGTTGTTCACAACCGGGCATGGATTGACTCACCCTGGGTCGGATTTTTTGACAACAAGGATCCTATGGTGCTTCCGGACACTGGAGTTGATGAATCTATTTTGAATCACATAGGTATCCCATTACTGGAATCATTCTTTCTGAATTTTTCGTTCCTATAATTGCTCTGCATCAATATTTTTTCAACCCTACCATTCCTTGGATACTTTAATTAATATTTTTAAAAAGGATGAGCCTATTACCTAATTAGTTGGTAGCAGTTTTCATTTCGAAGATATCAGTAGGTTTAGTTTTGAATATATATAAGAAGCTTATATGTGTATTCACCCCATTTCGTTTAAGGGG